ATAATAAGACAAATAGACAAAACAAGACAGATAAAATGACAGAACAGACAGAGAGAAAGATAAAACAATAGACTGACAGATAGACTTATAAACAAAAGATAAAACAGACAGAACGATAGATGGAAAAACAGATAGACAGATCAAAAGACCGATACACAAAACAAGACACAGATAGACAGCTAAATAGATGGACACTTGGACAGATATAAAAACAATAGAACAGATAAAGATAAAATGATAAATGAGAGACATAACAGACAGGTAAACACGGACGAACGGACAGACAGACAGATAGATATGTGCATGTCACTGAGCGTGTGGTGTGGGATGGATTGTGTTCTAGGTGTGGTTGTTTTCACACTCATCTTTCCAGGGACACTGCCAGGAGCACAGCTCAAAGACAATTATAATGTCTGTGCGGCTAATAGATGTCTTGACATATCCAAATGTGAATATGTGAATATGTGTGTTGTAAACAATATTTTACAGGAGCTAAATGCCTCATTAAACGCAAAAATAGAAACCTTTATCCCTGCAGGCTTCTTCACAGCAGCAGGTTAGTAAACTTGGGGATGAACTGAGTCCGTTTACTTGAGGCCTAGCACTGGTTACAAGAACTTCTTCACACACACAACGGGATACCACAAAAAACACAGTTCAATCACATATTTACCCTGCAAGCTGCTGTCTGGCATAGTCGGTATGGAAAAATATGCTTGCATCTGCAGTTCAGACATTAGACATTAACAGGAAGGTGTTGAAGTCTGAAGGTGTTCACTGATAACAGTACTTGGAGCAGATGCTTAAACCACAGAACTTAGTTTCCTTTGAGGTCCTAAAACCACATGGAAGCAAGTAAACAAAGTCTACAGCTTTGAGGTCCCACCCTGACGCTTCCTGTCCACGGAAAAGCTTCCCAAACCTGCCAGTGCAAATACAGGAAATTGGAAACCCAGCTTAGGCAAGATGAGTGCCTTGCAACCGAGGTAGAATTGAACTTTAGTCTTCACACCCTCTTCAGTTTCAAAACACTTGTGGCGTATAGGGACCCATATGCCAAACGCACAGCTTCCTGTTTAAGGCTTACGGTTGTGGATGTGATTCAGGGAGCTGCACGTGTAGGCATAAATGATCAAGTGTAATTTGTTAACAGCCCCAGGGAGTCAAGGCCGTGCCTGACCTCTGAATGAGATGGAGTCCGCGGGGCACTAGGAAAACAGAAAATACATCTATTCACTGAAATTTGACCCGCCATCATCATTTCCTGCCCCGATTAATCACCCACAACAAACACAGCAGTCAGGAAAAAAGCAGCCAGGACAGTAGTTTGCTCCTGAACGTAGCTGGTCCTTACCGACACGTCTAGATGGATGGAAGACAGATGGACTGCTGAGGCTGTCGGCTAATGGTGGGTGCAAAATATCATGACTAACACAAGAGGCTTTCAATAATGAGCTGCTTTTCAGTTGACGGTCTTCATCACATCTGAGTGGCCTCCATTCCGGCTCTAATGATCTGCAGACTCTTGGGCTGCTTGCTTCAGTTAAGAAAGAGACAAACAAAAACGTCTGCCTTCCTTCACGGTCCGCTGGCGGTGCATTTAGAAGACAGATCAGTGTTTGGACACAAGGGAAATGTCTCTCCTATGAATCTTTTATTGTAAAACGACAGAGTTATGTCCAAGACATGAGTCACGACTCAATTTAAGAGTTTGGTTTTACGTGCAAGCTGGACATCCTGTTTCAAACATAAGAATGCCCCCAAGTTTTCCTAACTAACAACTTGGGATTGTCCTCTCATGTACTAAAATCTTGGAGCCCTTCTTGAATGACACATCTGTAAATGTATAAATAGAAAATAGTGTCCAAAGTGTCCATAATTCCCTACCGCTCTGTGGACACGCAGAGTCAAGGTACGAAATGTCACAGATGTGATCATCTTGATGAACGCAAGCTGACAGCTTGAAGCATCTCTATTTAGACAATTGTAGGGGCTTGTCAGGTTTCATTTTGCCTGAGGACTGAAGTGAACTAGCTCTTGAGTAGGGGCTGCACCCACAAACATCAAAAGATCTCATCCCAAACCACAAGAAAGAAGTCCTGGATACCTAGAACAGTGTTTTCATGGCAATGTTTTCTTTTGAACCTGCGAACAAAAACAAAGTCTTTGGCACACCGCCACAGTGGGTGGCCATACTGGTTTCTCTTCATATCAATTCAGATTAATAAAAGGTTAGGAGACATAACGTTTGCAGAGACTCCGTGCAGGGCTCACATTCTGTTCACCACTCTCCGAGTCCTCAGGAAATCCAGGCTCGCTTACGGGAGTCACATCCTTCTATTGTTGTTGTACATGAGATCAAGAAGCGCACCGAGAAGGAAGTCAGTGAGCTATAGTGCTCCAAACCAAGTACACAAACAAACAAAAATTAGTTTTGCTTTGAAAAGTTAGGTTTGACAATAAAACAGAAGACCGATCCTGAAGGCTTTGATTCTTGTGGCAACAACTCATTTCGGGGCTGAAGAAGAATTAATCCAGAAACGTGGGAAAATGTCAGGTAGGCACTCGTCAATGTGAAGTACAGAGGTTAGGATTTCCCTTGTTCTTCCCCCTGAAGCTCAACACCATCCCAGAAGAGCTGATATCTGCAGCCTGAGCATATCAAGCCCTGTGACGGTAGCACGGCCATCCAGCTGGACTGACCCCACCAGATTGTTTGCAACAAGTGATGATGAGTCACTAACACTGCAATACATGGTGGAAAACTCAATGTTCAGAGCTTGCAATCATTATGCCTGTGACTCTGATTACAAGATACCGTTGTGTGGACAAACACGCACATTTAAATTTGAACACGTAGAAACGTACAGTACAACATTATCACAATCTAGCACAGGACAAAATGGAGATAGGCACCTTGCTAAACTATTCTTTATCTGTACAGTCACTCTTATGTGTTTTTTTGTAGGTAAACTGATATAGTTTTTAATGTGTGGTGAGATCCAGTAGAGAAAATTACCACCTGTACAATGTGCACGTGCATGTTTGTGCAGTCTGGTCGCATGACTCTGTTTACATTGGCAAAACCTTGCTTTCTCACACTTGATAACATTCACCGGAATTAATGTGTGCAAGCGTGCATGTCCTCATCCGGCATCTATATAGTCAAAAGCACCGTTTCAGTTCCTAGAAAATTGATTGAAGTCATCAACTGATCTAAATTTTTTACAGCATTTACTAATCTTGATTAATGTTATTTTTACTTATGCTAAAATATTTCTGTTGTATAAATGACCATTAGTTGAATTAAAATGAATTAACAACAAACAATAATGTATTTATGAATGAAAATTAACCAACGTTTATGAACACTGGGCCTTATGTATTTTATGACACACAATGATTTAACATGTTAACTAATTGAAACTTATTGTAAAGTGCAATCCTGACGGCAAACTATAATCCAACTAAAATCACCGCGCTGACTTTTTAGCACACCATTAATCTCTCAGTGTTTACTTGCTCACTTTCCCACATTAAAAAGACACACACTCCATGTCAAGTGGTTCCTTACCGGCTCCTTCCTCCCAACCACAGAGAACCACATGGTGCTGCGCTCTGCTCCGGAGTCGAGAATGAACTGAGGAATCAAATAATAACGGTCCACGAAAACTTATCCAACTGTTTCAAAAGCAGGCAGGTCTACTGAGGAGCAACTCCTGGGCTACATGCTCAACACAACATGCAAATATCTGAAGCCAGAGTAGAAAATACCACATCCAGACTGTTATTTAAGAGAAACTCCCACAACTCAATAACAGTTAGGTGACGTTTTAGCGCAGTTCCAGCTGTGTCCCAGCTCCACACCGGGACAAATCGCCTCTCCTCTTTAGATCCACCCCTTTGTCCCAGAGAGCATGCCTTACACCCCTTTTCACTCCTCCTTTCCTTCTCCTCCCATTTTCCACTCCTTCTCTCCCTTCTTTTCCCCCTGTTCTACCTCTACCAAACTTTATGCTTCCTCAGAGACACTCACAGATGAAAATAGAAGCAGTAAAGGGAAGGTTTTGCTATGAAAACGAACAGTTCCTGTTAACCCCCTTCTCCTCCCTCTACACCTCCCTTGCTTGCCTCTTCTCTGTTCCTGAACCTGATGCACATCTGGTGGGAAAAATGTTCTTGTGTCCACTAAAGTGGTGAAAGACTGCAACTGTCTGTTCCATATAACCCACTGAGAAAAAACCCAGTTTAAAAAATTTAGAAATATTTACTTGCACAGTAAAATCGTAAACTGGTCCATGTTGGATCTGAAAGCACTTTCTAACGGCATATATCTGTCAAACTAGTAAGAGTTTAGAGTATAAACAAAACCTTAATTTGCAATGTTGACATCAAAACTAATGAAACAAATCGAAATGTTCTATGCTTGACAAGTTTAACTGGTGGAATCATGCAAAACATGTCATATTTTAGCATATTAACTGAGCTGTTAAACTCCAACATAATAGACTGCATTTTGTAAAATGGGTGACGACCCAGAAGACATTTCCTACTGCTGAAAGCAGCATACTAGAAAAGCATTCAGTCCGACAAGGAAACGGAAAGATTTGCTTATGATTCCATTTCGTATCTGAATGTTTGACAAGCACACAGACCAGCTTGTGACTGAATCAAACAAAAGCATGTCCTCTTGAAAGCACATCCCTGTTTAGACCGTCTGTTATGACCTGAGCCTAGGAAACTATGCCACACCTTTACTTCCCACTAATACAGCAGCCACCAAACATCAGAAACCAAAAACCAATCCTCAGAAAGTTTAAATTGTTCTCATCAACTGTCAAACTAATCGGATCTAGTTCTATGCCAAAACCCAAATGCCCCCCTCAAGGATTTAGGGTTTCATTCAATTACTCTCTAGATCAATTTTTATCACTGCCACAGCAGTCAGATCCATGCAAGAAGATCACAGTCTTTGAAAAGGGAGTAATATTAGTTCTTACCTTGGCTGCCACAATACTGAGGCCCATCCCATTGTGTTTCTTCAAAGTCACTGTCACAATTTCCGGTTCCTTCTGCATTAGCTGTAGCATTTACAGTCAGTTCTTGGGCACTATGGTTAAATATTGCCCTCCGTGGTGTAACTAGTGTTGGCTGAAACCTAAGAGAATGTTAACTTGACAGAACACACACACTAGCAACTGACATAAAAAAAAGATCTATCTATCTATCTAAATGGCTTAATAACTTACCAGTTCTGATGTGTCAGCTGAGAAATGACTGTCACAATCGGCTCCTTCAAAATAGATGGTCCAAGTTCCCGAAGAGCGTGGATGAGGTGTCAATCGACAGAAACCTGGAGAAGGAGCAGATGAGAACACATCCACTGAACGATAAAACTTCAAATCCACTCACTGTCTGTGTCACACACCTGTAAAAATACACACACTCTTGCTCTCTTGAAAAAAAAAACAAATACTGATAGGAATGGCAGCAAACAGAGAGTTGAACACAACCTTAAAAATTTACAGTCAGTTCTTGGGCACTATGGTTAAATATTGCCCTCCGTGGTGTAACTAGTGTTGGCTGAAACCTAAGAGAATGTTAACTTGACAGAACACACACACTAGCAACTGACATAAAAAAAAAAAGATCTATCTATCTATCTAAATGGCTTAATAACTTACCAGTTCTGATGTGTCAGCTGAGAAATGACTGTCACAATCGGCTCCTTCAAAATAGATGGTCCAAGTTCCCGAAGAGCGTGGATGAGGTGTCAATCGACAGAAACCTGGAGAATGAGCAGATGAGAACACATCCACTGAACGATAAAACTTCAAATCCACTCACTGTCTGTGTCACACACCTGTAAAAATACACACACTCTTGCTCTCTTGAAAAAAAAAACAAATACTGATAGGAATGGCAGCAAACAGAGAGTTGAACACAACCTTAAACCACATTCCACTGGCATCACGTCAGCCTTCAACAAAGGCAACAACCTCTGATTCACCATCCACCTGATACTTATTGTGCACACCGCAACTGACATCAAATGCTCTAAAAACTAATTTAGAATGGCAGCATTCTGTTTATCATCCATACCTCTCTGGCAAAGCGGCTCTAGGAACTCTTGGAATCCATTGGGAATGTTCCGCACCACGTCGCACGAGTAACCGTCCTCGGGCAGTAGGAAAGGCAGCTGGAGGTCAGGGTCCTCTTCCAACTGTACTTCCCGCCCATCGCTTCGGGCCAGTTCGTCCGCCGTGTTCTCGGACCAGTAAAAATCCACACACTCTTGCTCTCTTGAAAAAAAAAAACAAATACTGATAGGAATGGCAGCAAACAGAGAGTTGAACACAACCTTAAACCACATTCCACTGGCATCACGTCAGCCTTCAACAAAGGCAACAACTTCTGATTCACCATCCACCTGATACTTATTGTGCACACCGCAACTGACATCAAATGCTCTAAAAACTAATTTAGAATGGCAGCATTCTGTTTATCATCCATACCTCTCTGGCAAAGCGGCTCTAGGAACTCTTGGAATCCATTGGGAATGTTCCGCACCACGTCGCACGAGTAACCGTCCTCGGGCAGTAGGAAAGGCAGCTGGAGGTCAGGGTCCTCTTCCAACTGTACTTCCCGCCCATCGCTTCGGGCCAGTTCGTCCGCCGTGTTCTCGGCCACAGTCACCACGTGATCAATCAGCTCCTGTGGGCATGAAGGGGACAATGATCCTCCTGATGGTACATAAGAACTCTAGGAAAACTTGACATGCTGCTCCTCTTCTCCTCCATCTCTACTTTGCTTTGTAGAGTGAGTTTTGGAAAGATGGGGTGCATCTAATTTGGTCTGGGAGAAGTTCCAGAACAGCTAACATCAGTTACAGCACCTTTTAAAGTAATGAGTTTAATATTTCACATCAAACAAGAAGGTCACATTATGAGAAACCCTGAGGTTAGAGGAAATGAGCAGAGCTACTGTGAAAGAGGAGAACACCTGGTTCGGTTTATCTCAAAAAGGACACATGTCATCAGACCAGGACTACACAGCCCAAATGAGACAGTTCACTTACAGGAGGAATGTAGGGTTCATCAGGAGCGCAGTGGTAGTTGCTCAGCAGAGCGTTGAGCTGCAGAGAGTTGAGCTTGAAGCAGGTGTTGTTGATGTTCTGCACATCTTGCATGGAGTATTTGTCCATGGTGAGGAGGGTCGTTGCCTACAGAGACAAAGGGACAGTTACGATAAAGTAATGTATTGGTTCATAGTCCATCTAACTAGGACTGAGGTTTTTAAACGTTTCAGGCCAAGTGCCACCTTTGATCAAACCAGAACATCTTAGAAGTACCATCTCGTCACAACCAAAATTCCCTCCAAAAAAGAATGTAGTCTATGTACTATTGTGCTATACAGACAAATTTATGGTAAAAAGGTATATATTAGAAATATGAAAAAGTAAATAAAAGATAACAAAAATAAATTTTAATAATACTTAATTCTACTACTACTACTAAAGTATTTTAGTGTTATAAATGTTCTCTGCATACCACTGGTTTGTACAATAATACAATTATGTATACATATAAACATATATATATATTGATTGTTTGCACTAAATTTGCTGTTAGGGAAAATAAAAACCCCTAAATTTTTCACTTGACAGCAAGGCAACATTTTTTAAGAGCAAACTGAAAAATAAAATAAAAAAACGCTGATCATGAGAAACAAAATATACAGTACACTTTCATGTACATTTTAAGATAAAATCTTGATGTTGAGAAAAAGTTGCCCATGTTAACTGTGAACTACCCCATACTGGAAAACAAAAGATTAGTGAAAGCATGAACAGGCAACATAACCTAAGGTCACATTTTTTATAAATGACGCATGCTGTTCCACCATCTAATAAAACAATCATTATATACACAACAGAAAAGCCATAAGAAAGCAACTCAGAACAGCTCAAGGGATTCTAATCCTGTTGTGCGTGTACATGCATGCTTTGCTGATGTTGTGGAGGTAAATGTCTGCAAAAGAACAGAAAGACCTCTTTGTGTGGATGTGCCCACAAGAAAAAGGCTCATAAATGGGGCAAATCATGTCTCAATTAAAATCTAACCATGCCAAAACATTCTTACTAATAAAAACAGTATATATTTGGACCAGATAACGTCTTATTTAAAATCTAAAATTGCCAAAATGTGTCTGTAAGGGTTTGGTTAGTGTATAGTAAACATAATTAGTTTAACCTATAGCTTATAATGACTCAACTTTAATAGTTTAACTATAAATGCAACTCTGGGAAAGACTGGTGTATATATTTGCATGTGGTACCTGCACTATGCGACTGAGGTGGCAGTCTGCGGCCAGCTCCAAACCCTGTTTCTCAGCCCACGCCTCGATGTGGCTGAGCTGCTGTCGCAGGATGGCGCCCCAATAGTGCGAGCACAGGCCCGAGTCTGCCTCTGTCACCAGCTTGTTAAAGAGCCACATGTTGATGAAGTGGAAGAGCTGCGAGAACAGCTGAATTGTGAGGGCCGCGTTGACACGGCACCGCCGCAGAAGAGACATGGCGCCCGTTAATGTGTGCAGAACGTCCTCTGTGGAAAGTGGAAAGTCAGGGCTTTTAATGCAGTATAAACAGAAACAATACCATCATTCTTTTATTTATTTTATTTGCAATTATAATGATGCAATGTTATGAACTACTGCTGTTAGCTGGGACAGATATTTATACAAAAGGTTGAAAAACAAAGAATTATAATTTTTTTTATATTCTCTTTGAACATGTTTTTTTTCTGTGGTTGGTCCCTGATGTGCAACACATTTAAAATTGGGGTTCCTTGTAAAATAGGGTTGGGAAACACTCTTCTAGAGAACTGGAAGTGCTACTATGTTACTTAAGATGTTTTGCATGGTTCTGGTTCATTTCAGCAAATTTCTGTGTTGCTTAAGATGTTGATGCCATTCTAATCAAGAGGGCATGTCTGTCCACTTGTCCAAGTCATTTTGTTGAAATAGACTTGTCAAAATAAGACTACTTAACATTCTACAACGACCAAGACAACAAAGAAATTAAGATGTTGCAAGTTCCTTTAAAGAAACTGAAAGATATCACTGCTTTGGGGTAGAACATACAGTGGGGAAAAAAAAGTATTTAGTCAGCCACCAATTGTGCAAGTTCTCCCACTTAAAAAGATGAGAGGCCTGTAATTTTCATCATAGGTATACCTCAACTATGAGAGACAAAATTAGAAAAAAAAATCCAGAAAATCCCATTGTAGGATTTTTAAAGAATTTATTTGCAAATTATGGTGGAAAATAAGTATTTGGTCAATAACAAAATTTCATCTCAATACTTTGTTATATACCCTTTGTTGGCAATGACAGAGGTCAAACGTTTTCTGTAAGTCTTCACAAGGTTTTCACACACTGTTGCTGGTATTTTGGCCCATTCCTCCATGCAGATCTCCTCTAGAGCAGTAATGTTTTGGGGCTGTCGCTGGGCAACACGGATTTTCAACTCCCGCCAAAGATTTTCTATGGGGTTGAGATCTGGAGACTGGCTAGGCCACTCCAGGACCTTGAAATGCTTCTTACGAAGCCACTCCTTTGTTGCCAGGGCGATGTGTTTGGGATCATTGTCATGCTGAAAGACCCAGCCATCTTCCATCAGCAAGGGCATTGAAGATGAAACGAGGTTGAGTTTCAAAACCACCACTAGGTGGTCCCATATAACTATTTCAATTGTAATTCTGATTTTTTAAACAGATTAAAATCTACTCATCTTTATACATGCAATATCGAAAACTGCAACTGTTGATGAATCTTACACAGTTATTGAACTGAACTGAACCAAAACTGAACTGACTTGAGCTGAATAATGATACTATCGTCTTTTTAGAGCAGCTTTACATGACAATTTGAATTGGTCTCATATATGAAGAAGCTTGCATCAATGATTCAGTTATTTTTCTGTTTATTACTCTAAAGCTGCTCTGTTTTGTATAAAGCTCTATATAAATAAAGGTGACTTGCATCTGAAAACATGAGACTGGGTCTCTGCTCACCTATCTTGGGCCTCTGTGGGTTCTGTTCATCGGGATCTTCCAGGAAAGCTGGCATGTAGTTATTCAGATCTGACTGCAGGCAGTGCACCAGGTACCTGCAAGAACACATTACTTAGTGACCATATTAATATATATATATATCTGCTCTATATAAATAAAGGTGACTTGCATCTGAAAACATGAGACTGGGTCTCTGCTCACCTATCTTGGGCCTCTGTGGGTTCTGTTCATCGGGATCTTCCAGGAAAGCTGGCATGTAGTTATTCAGATCTGACTGCAGGCAGTGCACCAGGTACCTGCAAGAACACATTACTTAGTGACCATATATCCACCATCAAGGCCTAAAGGAACTTCCTGTAGAATCTCACAATAAATCTGAGAGACCTGGCCGCTTCACAAACCGCACAAAAGCGCAGTTGTTTCAGCTGGTCATTCCAGTGCTTAAAGGAAACGGAGACGCTCAGACCACATTGTTTGTGCTGAAAACCGGCCCCAGGACCGTAACTCTCTCTCATACACCCAAACTACAGCTCAGCCAATACAAGCCAGACCCAAAGCATTCCTTACATTCAGCACATCCTGCCGCCTGACAATGGTTACAGGAACACAGTATGAACTTATTTTACAAATCACTTTTGTAATTGACCAATTACAATTAAATTATGTGATGATCAATTACAATTAAATTAATTGTTTTCATATATGGAAATAAAGCTGAAATTCACACACACACACACACACACACACTACAGGTCAAAGGTTTGGGATCTGTAAGACTTGTAATGTTTTTTTTAAAGAAGTCTCTTATGCTCATCAAGGCTGAATTTATTTGATCAAAAAAACTGAAAAAAAACCCCCCCAATAATCTTGCAGAATGTTATTACAATATAAAATAATGGTTTCTATTTTAATATCCTTTAAAATATAATTTATTTCTGTGATGCAAAGCAGAATTTCCATCAGCCATTACTCCAGTATAAAGTGTCACAAGCTCCTTCAGAAATCATTCTAATATGCTGATTTTATTATTAGAATTACACATTTTGGCAACAGTTGTGCAGCCAAATATTTTTTTGGAAGCTGCGATTCTTTAAGTAAAAAATAACAGCATTTATTCAAAATATAAATATTTTCTAACAAAATCTTTGCTATCACTTCTTAACAATTTAACACATGCTTGCTGAATAAAAATGTTAATTTCTTTAAAAAAAAGAATAAACTTTTACTGACCCCAAACTTTTGAACTGTAGTGTATATTGTTAGAAAAGATTTCTATTTTAAATAAATTCTGTTCTTTTTAACTTTTTATTCGTCAAAGAATCCTGAAAAAAAGTATCACAGGTTCTAAAAAAATATTAAGCAGCACAACAGTTTCCAGCTCTGATAATAAATCAGCATATTAGAAGGATTTCTGAAGGATCATGTGACACTGAAAACCGGTAGTGTGTGTGTGTGTGTCTATATGCGAGTGTATATATATATATATATACACACACACATACATACATAAATAACCCAAAGGTCACGGGTTCGAGTCTTGGTACTGGCAGGAATTGTAGGTGGGGGGGGGAGTGAATGACCAGCGCTCTCTTCCACCCTCAATACCACGAATGAAGTGAGACCCTTGAGCAAGGCACCGAACACCCACCTGCTCCCCAGGCTCCACAGCAACCACTGCTCTGGGTGTGTGTGTGTGTGTGTATGTGTGTTTGTTCACTACTCAATGCTGTGTGTGTGCACTTGGATGGGTTAAATGCAGAGCACAAATTCCAAGTATGGGACACCATACTTGGCTACACATCACGTCACATTTTTCAGAATCAGCAAGAGCTTTATTGCCAAGTGTGTTTACACACAAGGAATTCATCTTGGTTACAGGGGCTTCCAGTACAGAAAGTACAGACATAGTGTAGACATACATATAATTTAAGGCAATACAAATAAATATAACACTAATAATAAAGGGAATAGACAATAAATAAACAAAATAATAAGTATATAGTAATATAAATATAGAGAAAATAGACAGAATTATGAATGTGCAAATGTGCTATTTTACAAATTTTACAGATAATTATAAAAAAAAAAATATATATATATATATATATATATATAGACACAAAATTAAAATCAGTTCAAATATAAAAGTTAATATATAAAACTGATATTAAAATTTTTAAATATAAACCAGAATGTAAAATTTAAATTTAGTTAAAAAGTATACTTTTTACTTAAGCATGTATACACATATATAGTTATTTTAATATAATGTTTATATTTAAATAAATATACAAATATAAATTGAAATATGCCGTATAGGATGGCAGCTCTCTCTGTATTTTGAAACATTAAGCGTAAATATGCATGCACGTTCAAACACTCACTTAAAAGCCATCTGAACCAGGTGAGCGAGAACATCCTGTGCATCTAGCGTGATGCGACTCAGATCCTTGTCCTGTTTGAAGAAGTTCAGCAGCTCTGAGGCATTAGCCATCCAGAAGGCCAGAGCCCCGGCTATGTTCTTCTGTTTCTGTAATGCACAGAGATGGGCCGTTACACACAGCTAAAGCAAAACAATCTGACGTACAAACAACAAAGAAAAGAGTTACAGCCATGAGAAGCACTGAGTAGCACTCCCGGGATAGACATGTGCCTCTGTCCAACCCTCCCGGCCTCCAACAACCAGTCTCCGCGTCCAGACAGAGTAGAAATCATTCACGTGTTACAGTTAGCTCAAGCTAGGCACGACTGACTGGGAAGCTGCGGTGACTGGTTGCCCTGGATCCCACATCCCTGCAACACAGAGAGGGGATACACATGGTCCGGAAGCAACCGGACCTCTGTGTATACCTGCACACGTCTATCCCACGTGACGACGACAGCAACCCCCCGCCCCGCCCTGACCCTCCCTAATACGTCATACTGGCCACAGGACGCATCCATAAGAACAATGACGTTAACCACAGACATGAAGTCAAATGAAAAGGAAATTAAAAGTTTCCAAACAAAGCAAAAGAACATGGGGTAGTCTCTCATCCACACTGAAGTGCAGTAAGCAGAAGTCAAAAATGGAAGATGCCGCAATTAAAATGTTGTCGCAATCAGAGTTTGTTTTTTAGTATCACATGTTCCATGTTGAGTCGTAAATGAGGGGTTATGAACAATTGTGTCCAGCTGTAGGAGGAGGGATTACTTAGTTGGCTTGGGTTGTTTGCTTTCTGTTATGGGGGGATAAAAGAGGCATGGAAGATGGAGCCAAGCTGACAGATAGAACAGAGAGAGAGAGAGAGCGAGAGAGAGAGAGAGAGAGAGAGAGAGAAAAACAGGAAGAATGAGACACCTCCCTAGCAGTGCAAACTCCTACCTGATCACCTTCAGCAATCTCCTGTAGAGATAGTAGGTGTGGGGGAAGAGGGGGTGGGGGGTGGACAGACATTCGACAGGACAGAGAGAGAGACTGTCAACAACAGCCATGGCATGGACAGAATTCACAGGCATGTAAACACACAGACATTCACGCTCACACGGGACAGGTCACAACATCATCCTGCACTCACTGCCGTACGGGACGTCCGAGTCATCTAGAGTGATTTAACTTGATTTTATAATTAATGGTGCAGTTTAAAGATACAGCTGCTTTTCTGTGACGCCAAGGATGAAATTTACAAGCCACTAGATAAACGCTCTTTTTTTTCTCTTTTTTTTAACTAATAAGAAATACTTCTTAAGCAGCAAATCAGCATATTAGAATGATTTCTGAAGGACCATGTAACACTGACGACTCGAGTAATAATGCAGAAAATTCAGCTTTGCATCTCAGTAACACATTACGATAATACAATATATTAAAATATAAAGCAGTTCTGTTAAATTGTAATTATATTACTGCTTTACTGTATTTTTGATCAAATAAATGCAGAGTTGGTAAGCATAAGAGACTTTTCAAAAACTATTTAAAAAATCTTTTGAACAGTAGAGTAAGTGTGCTAATGAAATAATGAAAGGTGAAAAAAGAACCGTGTCTGATAAAAAGCTCTATAACAACAATAACTAGCAAGAACAAGCAGCAAATTGTGGTTATTTTTGTTTTAAGGAGTAGACTGCCCTTTTTAATGCTTATAAAAGAAAACTATGATTTTAAAACTCCCGATGTTAACAACCAGGGTTTGACTAATGACAAACCTACTAAATATTTTGATCTGTGTAGATAAAAAGTTACTTCAGATAAAAAATTATAAGAATATCCTAATGTCTTGCTATTTTAAAAATGGAGTACAGCTTTGCTACCAAGCCTTAAATTAATTCCCGCTCTCTTTCCGAGATGGTGTTTCTCTTTTTCTAAGCTTAGGCCCTTAAACATGTGAGGCTTAAGATTTTGGATTTACCAAAAATTCAGAAAAAGAAAATAAACATTTAAATGGATTATGACACTAATGGTTTTTTTTAGAGACTGACTGTATCCATTCATATAAACGACTGTTTTCTCATTTTAGATACTGAACTCCATTTAAAGTCTTGTAACAGTGAGTCAGGAAATGGACGATTTATTAAATAACTATTTGCATTTGAACATTTCTGTCAGTCTATGAGATATACGGTTTGAACACCTGGGTGGGCCACTCAAAACCTGCAGGCACTGACCAAATAAGAACATAAATAAACAGAGCATGTGGACCTCATTTCTGAACTGTAAAGAGGCGTTTACAGTTATTTGTGGTGACCAAATGATGAAAGTGAACGATGGCAATCCAATGAGGCCGTGTGCAGTGACTAGACAGTTGAGAAAAGTGTTACTTTATGCAAATGAGCAACGACGACTCGTTCATGTTACTGTGAGCAATTTTACTGTTCTGTAGAATTTGTATCAGTCCATATACAATGATACAGTAAAAAACATGATTCACTGAGTTTGATTCATGCATTGATAATCAGTCTCGTTCATAATATTTACACCACTGTGCAAAAGTTTGGGGTCAGATAGACTTTTCTGAAGAAAATCAATACTGTTATTCAGCAAAGATGCATTAAACTGCTCAAAATTGACTAAATATATTTACAATGTTACAAAAGCTTTTGAACTTTCTATTCATCAAAGAATCTTGAAAAATGTATCACATGGCTTACACAAAAATATGTGCAGCACAACTGCTTTCAAAACTGATAATAATAAGAAAAGTTTCATTTCAAAAGGATTTCTAAAAGGATTTCTGAAGACTGGAGGCAACTGAAAATTCAGCTTTGCCATCTCAGGAATAAATCCCATTTTAAAATATAATAAAGCAGAAAACAGTTATTTTACAGTATAATATTATTTCACAATATTACTGTTTTTACTGTATCTTTGATCTTTGTATCTTAGCCCTGGTGAGAAGAGACTTCTTTATATAAAAAAAAAAAATAAAATTTTTTTTTAAACGGTATTGTACTATACAAACACTTTTCCCTGTAGAAGCAACAAGAAGCTCTTTTTGTTTCTTTTTCTAGTGATACATCTCAGTATGGCCACTTGGTGACTGTCGGAAGCTGCTGAACCAAGCGCAGCTAAGAAAATATGGTGCATGAATCCAGTAAAACAAGGCAGAGACACAAATAAAATTTTTTTTTAAACGGTATTGTACTATACAAACACTTTTCCCTGTAGAAGCAACAAGAAGCTCTTTTTGTTTCTTTTTCTAGTGATACATCTCAGTATGGCCACTTGGTGACTGTCGGAAGCTGCTGAACCAAGCGCAGCTAAGAAAATATGGTGCATGAATCCAGTAAAACAAGGCAGAGACACAAACACACACACAGACATTCACATACTAAACATACACAGGGGAAACACTGAGTGCAGTAGTTTAAGCACTGTTTGCTGAGGCAATGACCTGAATCGATGAAAGCAGAGTGAAACAAGCTTTAACACTACAACTACAAAAGCATGTATAATGTAACTCCACAGACAAATCTCTACATCAGAGCTACAGCGACATGTCTAAAGTATAAATAGAGTTATAATATAATAAAGTTACACACAACTTGCATTGTCAAAAATGTATAAATATTAATAATTATTATTATCAGAAGATAATTCTAGTAAAAATTGTCAACACCCACCTGGATAACTCCTTCCATCATGCTCACCATCTTGTTGACAATGGCGATGACCTTGTGTGTTCGCTCAGAGGGGCTGATGTCAGGCCGGTATTGGCTGGACATGACGTAACGGCAGGTCATGTACAGCACGTAGGTGGGAGACAGCTTGAAGTGCACCGTTGAGCTGTTGGTGTAGTTAATGATGGCAGACAGGAAGGCATCCTCGGCTATGGGGGGAAATCATGGGATAGAGGAAGCAGAGAGAGATTTAATTGGGAATGTACCAAGTTTTAATGTACCAGAAGAGAGCTACATTTTAGCATGCACATTCATTTAAATGGCAGTTACACATATACATTTAGTTTGTCAGCTGTGCTGTAAATTCCATGCTACTGATCACACAACGATCAGCACAACAAAATCTCCACAACACAACGAAATCACCGCAGCACAACGAAATTAGCACAACACAACAATAGCACAACACAACGGAAACAAGTCACAGCACAACAAAATCTCCACAACACAACGAAATCGCAGCAGCACAACGAAATTAGCACAACACAACAATAGCACAATATAACGGAAACAAGTCACAACAAAATGAAATCGCTGCAACACAAAGGAAATGCTCCCGCTCCCTTTCTTGGCCACTATAAGGGATGCGTTAAAACTAAGGACTCTATACCAGAGGTAATGGTCTGACGAAATTCTAATTTTGGGCATTTTACTGTAGTACCAATTTTTTTTTAAAACCATTAGCCAAGTCATTTATATGGCTATGCGAACTTAAAGTGTCATTTAAAAATCCTAGTGCAGTAAGCTCTTTAAAAATTTTTATATTTTTAGACAATTAACTCTGGTAAGAAGCCGAAATTTGAGCTTTAAAGCATCGTTTACGTGGCCGCGAGAAACAGCGTTATGAAATGAATTCAACAGTAATAATATGTGCAAGTTCAAGAGTCCATAAAAACATTGGCATGGTATTGGTCTAGTAAATTGTTCAAAATTAAGGTTTGGTTAGTCCATTACCACTATATAAAGCTTGGACGTTATTTTTAATTTTTTCTTTGCAATAAGTGTAAATAATCCTTAGATATCATTTATAGGCTATAGTCTATATAGTGGCAGATGTTTGCACCTCAGTTTTGTTGTACATTAACAGGATGCAATAGTAATGTAGAGTGTAAATTATTATATTTCATAAAAAATATTAAATGGATGCCGTTATTGGGATAATAAAGCCCTCCATACACCTATACCCCTAACCCCTATATACTTCATTATTATTACTCGTTATGCACATTATTTATTTTCACTTTTGGAATATTTTCTACATTGAAAGTAACGCCTTTCTGATCTGATATGTGATGGGGAAAAGGGAGAAGAGCAAAAGGCGGACTTTAACTATGCTACTTTTATGTGCCTTACTCGCTACGCCACTGCTCTGTTACCTGGTGCGCATCATTTTTAATTTTGTGTGGCCACATTGGTGAGCGTAATTAGTGTAAATAGCCTACATGTCAAAAAGGCTGGTTATTTGAACCAAATTAATATAAACACTCCGTTATTGGCACCATGATATGGGGTGATATATAATGTACTGTCCCATAGAAAATTTAAGGGTTTATGAAAATATATTGGATATCAAAATTTGGATTTCATTAGACCCTGCATTAAATCCCTTGACTCATTCAACTGTAACAGCGCTTAAAAAGAAGCGCCATATTATTAAAGAGGAGCTCACTCGTTAAAAAGTAGCAAATATATAGGCTATGTTTGTGTGCATAGGACCATTTCAGTTGTGTTGTGCTATTTTCGTCGTGTTGTGGCTTGTTTCCGTTGTGTTGTGCTAATTTTGTTTGTCCTGCGGTTATTTTGTTGTGTTGTACTAATTTCGTTGTGTTGTGGATTTTTTCCGTTGTGTTGTGCTGCGGTTATTTTGTTGTGTTGTACTAATTTCGCTGTGTTGTGGCTTTTTTCCATTGTGTTGTGCTAATTTCGTTGTGTTGTGCTAATTCCGTTGTGTTGCGGCTTGTTTCCATTGTGCTGCGGCAATTTTGTTGTGTTGTGGTGATTTCTATGTGTTGTGGAGATTTCGTTGTGTTGTGCACTACTGGGCCACCGTACATATCAAATCAAAAGCATGAAACTAAACAACAGATAACAATTACAGAACACACAACATGACAATATATAAACAACACATTTTCTAACACACAACACATGACACAACATAACAATAACATGACACATAACATAACAGCATACATAACATGACAACACACAACATGGCACATAACATGACACAAAATATAACCATAACACATAACACATATTGTAATACACAACACAACACATAACATGACAAGACACAACATATAACCCATAACACATAACATAACAACAGGTTTTCGTGAGCTTATTTTTCAGCTAAATATGTAAACTGGACAGATCCAAAAGAAACAGGCCGATGTGATACCTTGCTTGTAGGGAGAGCAGAGGCACTATGAAAGTCCCCGTGAAGGTCAAAGGTCGTTTCTGGGACACTTCTGAGAAACACAAAAACGGGAGGGGGGGGTTAATCATTTCAGCAGATGACATGGAAGTAAACGGTATCTGTGGCCAAACAAACAGACACACACAATATAACCACCTGCATACACTCTAAAACACACAACTACATAAAACCTGAGCTGAATGGAAAGTCAAACAAAAGCAGCGGCCCACAGCCTCACGAACACCCGGATACTAGTGTGTGTACGAGCTCTGAAGCCAAAAGTTTGTGGTTAGTTAGTTTTCTTTTTTTTTTCAACTTTTAAAACAATTTAAAATTAATACTTTTAGGTCACACTTTAGATTGGGGGCCAATTGGTCAAAGGGCCAAACTGACTATTAACTAACTATTAACTATGACTTTTTTCCTCAATAAACTAATAATTTGCTGCTTATTAATAGTAATGCAGTTAAGTTAAGTTTAGGTATGGGGTAGGATTAAGAGATCTAAAATATGGTCATGCAGAATAAGTCATTAATGTGTGCTTCATAAGTACAGCCAATATGCTAGTAATATGCATGCTAATAAGCAACTAGTTAATAGTGAGAATTGGTCCCTAAACTAAAGTGTTGCAAGGACACATTACATTGTTCAAAAGTGACAGTAAAGATTTCCATTTCAAATAAATGCAGTTCTTTTGAACTTTCTATTCATTAAAGAATCCTGAAAAAAGTATGACGCAATAAACAGGCTCTAAACGGTCTTCACGTAGGATCGAGAAGTCAGATTCATTACAGTGAATCAGATCATTGTTCATGTGAATGAAAATATTCAAAAGAATGATTCACCTGTTAACCTGCAGAATTCGGAGGCGTTTTATACATTATTTTTGTAGTTAAATGCTGCTGTTTGACACGTTTTCGACTCAGAAATAGAAACTGAAGTGTTTTTCTAGTTGTATTAGTTGCATTTAGAATCAATTTACCTGTTCATTCTCATGCTGTCATCCTAGCAAAGGATCCTCAAAAAATATATTAAATATCTTCAAATGTAGTTAGCTACTTTTTGTTAGTGGCTTGAAGTATAGCTAATGACTTTTTTTAAAGAGTAGCTTGGCAAGCTATAGTTTCAAAGAAGCTTCCCCATCACTGCGTCTAATGTTACACAGTACAACAGATGGCTCCTTGTGCTGCACTGCCACAGCTGGTCAATAAAGGATCAGTAGTCAGCTACTGACAATTGTATTAGTTCAAATCTTTCTGGACACACTCAATGTGATTCTTATCAGGTTATATTTGCTTTTCAGCTCTATGTGGCTGCTCTAAAAGAAAAAATGTCTCACCCTGATTTGTGTCTGCCCTTCATCATGGGCCCTGGGTCTCTCTTGGACATGCTGTGGTCATAGCTGGGGTCTACGAATTTGAAGACGTGAGTGGCTCCGAACTGGACGGTCACCCCGCTGCGCAGAACCGTAGTGTCAGAGATCCGCTGTCCATCCACGAATGTCTCAGCATCCAAACTGACAGGGGTCACAGTCACCAGCCCGTCCTCATGCATCAGTTCACAGTGGTGAGGCAGAATCCCAGGCCCAAACAGCTGCGGTGCAGAAATAAAATCAGGCATGTGTTGGACGCTTTTTTAAATGTGTTTTTCACCTTTTATTGTTCTACACTGCTGCACAGAAATGGTAATTTAAGCATTTTCCTTACCTGAATGTTTCCTTCTTCACACCGGTCAGATCCAACCTCAGTGAGGCTGTGCTGTAATCTGTAAAGTTTGGGTTTATCCCTGGAGTCTGACCCATCTGCAGAGCAGCCACAGAGACTGGTTGTTCAGCGAGACAGCAGAGTTACAGATACACACACCATAAAGTGAGACACTTTGACATCAAAAGACTGCCATCTAATGGCTCCACAAGTACAAAACATCTCATGAGCAACTGTGCCATATTTTTCCACTTTTGAAGCATTTTGACATCAACTTATTCAACCTTTCTTACATGAAAATAAGAGGCATTATTTAGCTTTTCATGACCACTTTCCAGCTTCACTCCAACTCTTAGAATTGAATTGTCTGTTTTTGTTACTGTACCTTTTGGACTTCTATCTTCACCCACATTTCATCATATTTTGATGTGTGTAAACTGTCTGTAAAGAACCGGCAAGTCTCTAGAGCTCTAAAAACCTAAATTAAAACAATTGATAATGTTTTTACAGTACAGTCAAAAGTTTGTGGTTAGTTGTTTTGTTTTTTTTCAACTTTTAAAGCAATTTAAAATTAATACTTTTAGGTCACACTTTAGATTGGGGGCCAATTGGTCAAAGGGCCAAACTGACTATTAACTAACTATTAACTGACTTTTTGCCTCAATAAACTCCTAATTTGCTGCTTATTAATAGTAATGCAGTTGTTAAGTTTAGGTATGGGGTAGGATTAAGAGATCTAAAATATGGTCATGCAGAATAAGTCATTAATGTGTGCTTCATAAGTACAGCCAATATGCTAGTAATATGCATGCTAATAAGCAACTAGTTAATAGTGAGAATTGGTCCCTAAACTAAAGTGTTGCAAGGACACATTACATTGTTCAAAAGTGACAGTAAAGATTTCCATTTCAAATAAATGCAGTTCTTTTGAACTTTCTATTCATTAAAGAATCCTGAAAAAAGTATGACGCAATAAACAGGCTCTAAACGGTCTTCACGTAGGATCGAGAAGTCAGATTCATTACAGTGAATCAGATCATTGTTCATGTGAATGAAAATATTCAAAAGAATGATTCACCTGTTAACCTGCAGAATTCGGAGGCGTTTTATACATTATTTTTGTAGTTAAATGCTGCTGTTTGACACGTTTTCGACTCAGAAATAGAAACTGAAGTGTTTTTCTAGTTGTATTAGTTGCATTTAGAATCAATTTACCTGTTCATTCTCATGCTGTCATCCTAGCAAAGGATCCTCAAAAAAGATATTAAATATCTTCAAATGTAGTTAGCTACTTTTTGTTAGTGGCTTGAAGTATAGCTAATGACTTTTTTTTAAAGAGTAGCTTGGCAAGCTATAGTTTCAAAGAAGCTTCCCCATCACTGCGTCTAATGTTACACAGTACAACAGATGGCTCCTTGTGCTGCACTGCCACAGCTGGCCAATAAAGGATCAGTAGTCAGCTACTGACAATTGTATTAGTTCAAATCTTTCTGGACACACTCAATGTGATTCTTATCAGGTTATATTTGCTTTTCAGCTCTATGTGGCTGCTCTAAAAGAAAAAATGTCTCACCCTGATTTGTGTCTGCCCTTCATCATGGGCCCTGGGTCTCTCTTGGACATGCTGTGGTCATAGCTGGGGTCTACGAATTTGAAGACGTGAGTGGCTCCGAACTGGACGGTCACCCCGCTGCGCAGAACCGTAGTGTCAGAGATCCGCTGTCCATCCACGAATGTCTCAGCATCCAAACTGACAGGGGTCACAGTCACCAGCCCGTCCTCATGCATCAGTTCACAGTGGTGAGGCAGAATCCCAGGCCCAAACAGCTGCGGTGCAGAAATAAAATCAGGCATGTGTTGGACGCTTTTTTAAATGTGTTTTTCACCTTTTATTGTTCTACACTGCTGCACAGAAATGGTAATTTAAGCATTTTCCTTACCTGAATGTTTCCTTCTTCACACCGGTCAGATCCAACCTCAGTGAGGCTGTGCTGTAATCGGTAAAGTTTGGGTTTATCCCTGGAGTCTGACCCATCTGCAGAGCAGCCACAGAGCAGTGACACACACATTTGAGTTTTTCTGCATTTCACTCACACTCAATAAAAAACAAGCACAAGCACAACCCATTAGTGTCACTTCTGTGCTTCAGGCCGTGTAATTAAAGATACGCAAAACTACATGTTTCTAAATCCGACTAGTCAATGGGCTAACTAAACTACTGTATAATTAGGCTGTTTTCAATCCTGAATTTAAAGGCGCAACTCCTCTGGGAGGGTTTTCCAGGGTTGTGCAGAATGTTAATTAAAACACTGCTGCTAAAAATACACCATTCAAAAGTTTGAAGAAAGAAATTAGTACTTTCATTCAGCAAGAACAAATCAAAATAAAAAAATAAAGTTACAGTAAAGATATGTGCTACAAAATAATTAAATTCTGAGTAAATGTTATTCTTCTGAACTTTCTATTCATCAAATAACCTTGAAAAAAATGATCACGTTTGCCACAAAAATATTAAGCAGCACAACTGTTTTATAACATTGGTCATGAAATGTTTCCTAAGCAGCAAACCAGCATATTAGAATGATTTCAGAAGGATCATGTGACCCTACATTTTAGAATATATATATATATATATTTAAAAATTGTATTAATTTTTTTTTATTTTTTTTATTATTAAATAATAATTAATATTATTATTTCACAATATTACTGTTTTTATTGTATTTTTGATCAAATTAATGCATCCTTGCGGAGACTTCTTTCAAAAATATTTAAAAAATCTTGCTGACCCTAAATATTTGAACGGAACTGTATATAAATACTGACTTCACTAATCAACTAGTTGGTCATTAAATGACCAGTCAACCCTCATAACATATCCTTACTAATAATCTTCAAGTGCATTCCTTGAATTTAAAAATTGTATTAATTTTTTTTTATTTTTTTTATTATTAAATAATAATTAATATTATTATTTCACAATATTACTGTTTTTATTGTATTTTTGATCAAATGAATGCATCCTTGCGGAGACTTCTTTCAAAAATATTAAAAAAATCTTGCTGACCCTAAATATTTGAACGGAACTGTATATAAATACTGACTTCACTAATCAACTAGTTGGTCATTAAATGACCAGTCAACCCTCATAACATATCCTTACTAATAATCTTCAAGTGCATTCCTTGAATACTGTGCAAAAACAAAGACTTATCTATTATCGGAAACTGGAACTACATCAGAATTCTTGGAACTTTGCTGAGAAACAATGAACTTTTACAGGGAATCCTGGGTTATAAATGATGATGGGATGGTTAGGTTTTTGTATTTTAATTCTTAGATTAGTGAGATGATTGGCAATTAGGAGTTGTAAGCAAAATGCAAAGCACAAAAAGTAAAAGGAGGAAATAAGGTTTAAAACAGGAGTATGTCAAAACATCCTCGTAATAATGGTGTTAGAGCCACTTTTGTATATATTTTGGTAAATGTATTTTGTTCAATTGACAATAGCTTGACAGACATTTTATTTTATTTCATTTTGTTAAATTAAAAATACAAAGACTTTTTCTTTTGAATAACATGCACTGATGAATTGTGCAAAGTAAGACCAGGAACATGCATTAGAAAAAGTAAAGAGTGTCAATTTTAATGTCATGTTGACTTTTAGGCAAGGATCTCTTACCATGAATACATTGTAAATAATACCCTAAGACATTGAGCAATTACGTAAGAGTCTGAGTGGGCATTGCTGGGAACTTTGTACCAATAGAAGGAACAATGTGCTATAAAACTAAATGCTTTACCAGGAAATACCACATCCATCCACTCTAGTGCCAAAAATTTGACCACATAACTGCACACATTACTTTTAGGGCACAAAAAAAACCAAGTAGGTCAGTTTTCATTTTGCAGAAGTGTTTTATATCTTCTCTTTCAGAGTGTGTGTGAGAGAGAGGTAGATCTGGGGGAGGGTGGGAGGTGCAGGCAGGTTTGTGTTACCTTCATGATGGCAGTAGTAGTAGGCATAGTGACTCCCTCGCCCTAGGACGGGACGCATGCACAGGAGCCAGGAGCAGACAGAACAGCGGGACACACACCGACACACACCAGAGAGAGAGAGAGAGAGAGAGAGAGAGAGAGAGAGAGAGGCTGGATTTGATCACAGGAGGAGGAGGAGGAGGGGTCCACAAAGAGAGCTGGACAAGGCAGGGACATTCAATCGGCTTAATAACTTTACAGCAGACCCACATGTCATGTGAAGGCACAGAATTATAAAGAAACTTTCGCAGATTTCCACAGAATTGGAAGATCAATGATCAATGATTATTTGAAATTTTAAATTTGAAAGTGAATTTAAGCTTCATTATAACAGTACAGTATAAAAAAATGAATACATTTTGAGATTTGTTAAAGATTACATTTAGCAGTGTTATAAATGTTTTTTTATGAATGTTTTTAAAGATTAACTTTGTCACCATTAGATGATGTAATCTAATGTAAAAATAGGGGAAATGAGCATGCACAATTAAAACTCCATGACACAGTATCAAAATATTGTCCATTCCTTCATTCTGCCATGTTAAAATCCAACCTGCAGATTTTAAAAACACTGTCTGACAGAGCGGCACCTTCAAATTTTAGGGAAGTACAACTCTCTGAAAGCATTAGAAAGCTAACACTGCATTAAACCTCACCTGGGCGATGCAGTAATCTCTGGGATTTTCCTTCTCCAGACCGTATTTCTCCAGAGCCTCGGCCACAGCAAAGTCAGCCATATCAGTAGTTGAGAGCAGGATGGTCTTGTAGGGAATGTTTGGCTTCAGACTATCGGCATAGATCCTCAGAGTCCCTCCTAAAAGAGAGAGATTGTGTCAAAGATAATTAAGAACTAATAGTGTAGCTTAGTGGCAGACCGATATATTGGCGAGGCCAATTAATCAGATGATACCTGGCTTTTCCAGATTATCAGAATTGTCTGATAACATGAGAGAATTAAGAACTAATAGTGCAGATTAGCGGTAGATCGATACATCAGAGAGGCCAATTAATCAGCGGATACTAGGCTTTCCGAGATGATCAGAATTGGCTGATAATCATGCCCAATGACTCCCTGCCTGTCTACCTGGCACGCCGATATAACGGCAAGGCCATTTAACTGGCCAATACTTGGCATTTCAAAACCCTTGCATCAGCTTCAAGACCTACTGATGGCCTAGTCAATGCATAATGGAGATTTAGGGTAACAGCATTAGCACTGCTCTTAAAACACCATCCTATGTTCTGGATTTCGGTTGTGTCCAATGTAGGTTGAAGGATTCTATTAGTATGGAAGCACACACAGCGTGAGAACTCAAACATCCCCAACACTGGGATCTAAGCCCAGCCACGTGCACGACTAAGCCTCTTTAACCAGTTCACACACTGCTTAACTCTTGCCGGACGGGGTGAATGTGATGAGTAACTGGGAGCCTTTCTATGCGTGTCACATTAAGGATTTGCCTCTGGTCTAAATCCTCAGCAGCAGACATACGTTATTATCCTGATTACATAAGCCTGGAAAATCTAAATATCCATGTCTGTCCAAGACAGAAAGGCTATTTTAGGTGTCAGTGTGAACAGAGCTACAGAATAAAGTTTTATGTTGTGGTCTGGAATGGTTTCCCACTTGAAAGTAGGTGGTTCATTGGCAAGAGGTCCCAACAAGTGCAATGGAGATGCCAGGGCACTGGCTTAGTGCTCTCATTGTATAATTACATGTGTCCCATGGAGACAACCTGCTAAAATCATAGCTTATTTTACATGAAAAACGAACACAAAGCCATTTTTTGGACCAAACAGTGTCTAGATACAAATATAGAGCAATACATCTTCCAGAAAAGCTCAATGACCATAGATTTAATTCTTATAATGCACCAACACTAAATGTGCACAGTTATGTTAATATGCTCATGTCTGTCCTCAGGAAAAATAACACATTCTGAATGAACTACTTTTGTAACTTAGTTTCCATATATGGTCGTGTGACTTTAATATGCAAAAGCGCTCCGTCATGATTGGTTAGCCTCTTTGCATGTGAAATGAATAACAAGGCCTCCTGCTGAATAATCACTTAGTTGATACGCAAATAGGGCAGTTGTATGTCAGTGTAGATTATGTTGACGTAGTAGTGGTTTACAAACCTGAGTCCGGTCGACCGTCTCCACTGCGGAATTCTTGCATCCTCTTCTCCAGTTTCTGCTGTCGTCTCCTCTTCATCACCACCTCGGGGTTAGAAATGGTCCGTGTGAAACTGGTCTCTGGCATGTCTTTATATACCTCAGCAGCCAACCTAGAGTTCTCTCTATCAGGAAGAGGGAAAACAGGAGTGATAAAAAAGTAAGTCAATTAAGCCTACCAACTTTAGCACAGAAAGAGAAACCAAAAATGTCTTTTCACAAATGATTATGACAAGAGAAATCAAACAGCTGAATGGATTTAGTTTTAAAGATGCTCTTAAACAGTTTCTTTCTAAAAACCCTTTTAATCGACTATTGCCTTTATGTGCATGTCTATGATACAAGGCGAATCGTTTGATACTCCTCACCCATCTTCGCGGTTCAGTGTGTGATCGTCTCCATCTGGAATTCTGGAAAAGGCCTCCTTCTCCCTCTTCTTCTCTTTCTTCTTCTCCTTCTTGGACAGTGTTCTTTTGAAGTTCTGGATCACCCCCTCCTTCTCTTTCTCAGGGCCATTTGTCAGTGATTTCTGGTGGAGAGATCAAGAGGAAAATTAAAGCGAAAAATGTTGAGAAAAATTGCAGTGGGATATCAGGTCGAGTAGGTTATTATTCATAAAATTTGAATTAATGCAGAAAATTCTTAGCATCTCCTTTTATGTCTATTTAACAATATTTTTAAGCTTCCTACATTTTTAATTAATATTTAAATTATTTTTGAAAAATTAATTGCATTATTACCTATTATACTGTACATTAAAGTGGTGAAAGGTTAATGTTAAATTAAGTGGAACAATGTGTTTCTGTTGATTTCAGGTCTTGATACAGTTGTGATTTTGCAATACATCATAGGAAACACTCCAAAAATGTACAGGGAGATTTCAAAATATTGTGTTATGAGTGAATAGTAAGAGCCAAAGCAAGGACTGCAGAGTTCAAATTCAAGCATGCTGAACAAGTTACTCTACAAAAGAGCGCCAGACAGATGTCACAACATCACTTCAACTCCATATCATCGAATGGTTAAGCGGAGAGCAACTAAACACAGATTTTTAGAACGTTTTCAGTTCAGAGTTGAAATAAAAGCAATCCGGACAATTACGGACATGAATCGCTATTTGCATGCTCATGATCACACTCTTCCACTTTTTTTGTGCAACGTAGAAGCTAGCTATTTTTTGTAAATGTGTGAGACTTCTGATTCATTAGTTAAATGACTAGAAGAATAACAGTGCAGGAAATGGTAAAAGTATTCGTGTTACACACCAGTTTCTAATAATAAGCAGCATAATGGACCATTTTTGTACAGCTTAAATTACTGGAAGTGAATGACGGCAGAAGCCTTACACATTCAAGTTACAAATGGCTACATACCTTACATTAAAAATAAGGTGAAATGCGTTCAAAATGCATTCTAACAGTTGCTTATATTCAAATAAATTTCAGCTTTCGTTCTTCACATCTCTTGCAATGTACTGTATCTGCAGCAGACAAATGCAAGTGCTGTTCTGTGTGTGAAGTTTTGTGGCAAATCTAAGGTGACAAAAACATGAATAAAACAGTGACACTGGCGTCTTATCCTGAGATGATACCAAGTTATAGTGTTAAACAGCTGCCATTAGTATTTACATTGTTGACTGAAACATATTGCGGTTCGGAGGGAGGAATCAAACTTTGGTATGGGCCGAACGATCGAACCAAGTGTGAAAACAGCCTAAAATGCAGAAATTGTTGGGATCTACCGCCCACACACCCAAACACACATTCCTGCAGACTCAGACACTACTAGCTCTGATTTTATGTCTCTTTGGGGTGCCTTGCTGCACACAACACTAAGAGCCACCGAAGTGGAGAGAGAGACAGACGGAGCAAAACGAAGAAAAAAAAATGGATCTGCCTCACTTAAGTGAGGAAATGAAGTGTCTGCTGATGCCTGTGTGTTTTTATGTCCTGAGAGGGTTTTTAACTGACGTGCAATGAGAGAAGATGGTTTCAGGGGCTGTCTGAACAGCAGGGGACTAAAAAAGCTGTTCCATCATAACTAAGAGCCGAAAACTCAACAAGAACACAAACAGACATCCTCGGTGAATCATCGTAAAACTATAGCTCCTGCATTCAAGCAGAACAAACCACAGAATCTGGCTCTGTGAAACAAGTTGGGTTTGTTTTCTAAGTTTTGGTCTTGGTCTCGGTCACCTTTTCTCACCTTGGGCATGATGTCGTTCTCGTTCTTGAGAACGAAGCGGCCCTCTCTGTCGTCTTTGTTCCAGTTCAGCTGTACGACCAGTGGTTTCTCATCCAAGTCCAGTTTCCTCTCTTCTGTCACAGAGAAAGATTATGCCAGTCAGAAAATCACCTCTCTATGGGCTTTAATCAAAGTACACTAAACGAAAATAAGGCTACAGTCCTAATGGGTCTCATTCATGAAACAAAACACAAGAAATTTCAAAAACCCATTATTTTCTAAATTATTGCATTTAAAGGGATAGTTCACCCGAAACTGAAAATTCTGTCATTAATACCCTCATGTCGTTCCAAACCCGTAAGACCTTCGTTCATCTTCAGAACAAAAATTACGATATTTTTGATGAAATCCGAGAGCTTTCTGACCCTGCATAGACAGCAACGCAACTGAAACGTTTAATAGCCCAGAAAGGTAGTAAGGACATTGATAAAATAGTCCATGTGACATCAGTGGTTCAAAAGTAATGTTATGAAGCTACGAGAATAATTTTTGAGCAGGGTCAGAAAGCTCTCGGATTTCATAAAAAATATCTTAATTTGTGTTCTGAAGATGAATGAAGGTCTTACGGGTTTGGAACGAGATGAGGGCGAGTAATTAATGACAGAATTTTCTTTTTTTGGGTGAACTAACTCTTTAATTCAATGTGATATTTACTCAAAGAAAGGGATTAAAATCTTTTACAGAAATTAGTTCTGCTCGTGTTTCATAAGAACCAATATGTCAATTTTGTTTTATTTATGTTTTTTTTTTAGCTTTCGTTCTTCACATCTCTTGCAATGTACTGTATCTGCAGCAGACAAATGCAAGTGCTGTTCTGTGTGTGAAGTTTTGTGGCAAATCTAAGGTGACAAAAACATGAATAAAACAGTGACACTGGCGTCTTATCCTGAGATGATACCAAGTTATAGTGTTAAACAGCTGCCATTAGTATTTACATTGTTGACTGAAACATATTGCGGTTCGGAGGGAGGAATCAAACTTTGGTATGGGCCGAACGATCGAACCAAGTGTGAAAACAGCCTAAAATGCAGAAATTGTTGGGATCTACCGCCCACACACCCAAACACACATTCCTGCAGACTCAGACACTACTAGCTCTGATTTTATGTCTCTTTGGGGTGCCTTGCTGCACACAACACTAAGAGCCACCGAAGTGGAGAGAGAGACAGACGGAGCAAAACGAAGAAAAAAAAATGGATCTGCCTCACTTAAGTGAGGAAATGAAGTGTCTGCTGATGCCTGTGTGTTTTTATGTCCTGAGAGGGTTTTTAACTGACGTGCAATGAGAGAAGATGGTTTCAGGGGCTGTCTGAACAGCAGGGGACTAAAAAAGCTGTTCCATCATAACTAAGAGCCGAAAACTCAACAAGAACACAAACAGACATCCTCGGTGAATCATCGTAAAACTATAGCTCCTGCATTCAAGCAGAACAAACCACAGAATCTGGCTCTGTGAAACAAGTTGGGTTTGTTTTCTAAGTTTTGGTCTTGGTCTCGGTCACCTTTTCTCACCTTGGGCATGATGTCGTTCTCGTTCTTGAGAACGAAGCGGCCCTCTCTGTCGTCTTTGTTCCAGTTCAGCTGTACGACCAGTGGTTTCTCATCCAAGTCCAGTTTCCTCTCTTCTGTCACAGAGAAAGATTATGCCAGTCAGAAAATCACCTCTCTATGGGCTTTAATCAAAGTACACTAAACGAAAATAAGGCTACAGTCCTAATGGGTCTCATTCATGAAACAAAACACAAGAAATTTCAAAAACCCATTATTTTCTAAATTATTGCATTTAAAGGGATAGTTCACCCGAAACTGAAAATTCTGTCATTAATACCCTCATGTCGTTCCAAACCCGTAAGACCTTCGTTCATCTTCAGAACAAAAATTACGATATTTTTGATGAAATCCGAGAGCTTTCTGACCCTGCATAGACAGCAACGCAACTGAAACGTTTAATAGCCCAGAAAGGTAGTAAGGACATTGATAAAATAGTCCATGTGACATCAGTGGTTCAAAAGTAATGTTATGAAGCTACGAGAATAATTTTTGAGCAGGGTCAGAAAGCTCTCGGATTTCATAAAAAATATCTTAATTTGTGTTCTGAAGATGAATGAAAGTCTTACGGGTTTGGAACGAGATGAGGGCGAGTAATTAATGACAGAATTTTCTTTTTTTGGGTGAACTAACTCTTTAATTCAATGTGATATTTACTCAAAGAAAGGGATTAAAATCTTTTACAGAAATTAGTTCTGCTCGTGTTTCATAAGAACCAATATGTCAATTTTGTTTTATTTATGTTTTTTTTTTTACAAACTATAGATATTTTTGTCCACTGGAAACTTGCAGAAGGTTTAAACTAAAATATTAGGGCCAGAAACAAACTCTGGAAGTATGCAGCTACATGCGATGTTGCATTATGAACTGCATTTTGACTTTTCCCAAACGCAACAATGTGAAACGGAGTTGTGTCGCTAAGTGTCAGCATGTATGCATTTGCATATTGTACACTACCATTCAACAAGAAATTAATACTTTTATTCAGCAAGGGAGCATTAAATAGATCAAAAGGGACAGTAAGGACATAAAAATGTTACAAAAAATTTCTAATTTAAAATAAACGCTTATAAAAAATGCATGTCTCCACAAAAAATAAAAAATTTTCATCACTGATAATAATAAGAGCAGCAAATCAGCATATTAATATGATTTCTGAAGGATCATGAGACACTGAAGACTGGAGGAATGATGCTGAAAATTCAGCTTTGCATTACAGGAGTAAATTACATTTTAAAATGTAATGAAATAGAAAACAGTTCTTTTAAATTGTAATAATATTTCACAATATTACAGTTTTAACTGTATTTTTAATCAAATAAATGCATTCTTGGTGAACATCAGACTTCTTTCAAAAACATAAAAAAAATCTTACCAACCCCAAAACTTTGAATGGTGTATGTTTTGTGACAAATTAATTTTGTTAGTAGTAAAAACAGCATTTTATGATTTTTTTTCTGTTCCTATGACTCACCGCCACTGACATGGACCTCATAGAGGGAGTATTTGGGAGAAGACAGCATCCTCATATCCGGTCTGAACTTTTCCGCCAGCGTCTCGATCACATCCTGCGTGGTCGCCGTGCTGGACACTCGGATACACTTTGTGGCGAAGTTCCCCGCCACTCGATCCTGGAAGTAAAAGCGCATCACGCCATGGAACTCTAAGTCCTGAAAGAAGAAAAAGAATATAACAATCAGTGCACGTTATTTTCTTATTTCATTCCACATTCCCCTACAAGCATCTACATCTTTCAGATTCACATTCAGGCTGCTGCGAAAGTTCATCTCTTCCCCATCTGCGGTTTGCGATTAAATCTAGCAGGAGACTACATCTGTACCATCTCTGTTGTGTGAAAAAACAAGCAGCTCTGTGTGGCAACATTAAACTTGTAACCTGCAACGGAGGCTGATATTTGAGCTGGCCGAGCAGGATGTATCTGGGACGAGAGGATAGCAGCCTTAGGACAGCTGCGAAGACGTGCTTGAAGAAACCTTTGTGTCTGTATAATGGAGGCGCAGGCGTATCAGCATTCACTGATATTGTCTGATTATACCACAGCAATATGAGTGTCAAAGTGGTTTTATACTCATCTTGATGAGCTGTAATAGCACACCACAGATACACAACTCATTCACACTATATGCTGCTGTTTCCGGACACACCCGACCACACGCCTGCTTGTGTGCCACACTGTCTTACATAAATACATATATGAGATACCTGAACCCTCAGGGTCATGATGAGGCTCCTATAAAAACACTGACATCAAACTACAGACAGACAACACGGATCGCTTCCAATCTTATATTCAGCAATGCTTTAACAAACAAACCCCTAATGAGGTGAATAAGGTGTGCTGATACTTTTCTAAGTGATCGGACAATTTTGCACGTAAGATGACAGACAGTCAAGCTGCAGTCAAATTTTCTTCAGAACATTTTCAAATGTAGTTAATTATAATAATTAAACTATAATGATGCAATACAAGCCAATGTACCTATAAAAGAACAGAAAGAGAGATAAAAAAAATGACATGAAATAGCAGTCACAGTGCATCTATTTCCTATAATATGACGCACTACTGAGTGAAACTGAATATTCAGCAGGGTTCGGGGCTGTCCCACATTTTGACCGATGAATTTCCTTAACATTTTCCAAGATCTTTCCAATTGCTCAACCTAATCGCATAAAAGGATAAAATAAAAAACTAAAAATAAAATGAAAAAGAACCTTACTGTCGTGTTGAAGCCAGCTGTATGAGCAAGAAAAAGAAATTTACTCCTCTGTAGTGGAGAGAGACAAAGGAAACAGGCTCATTTCTGACTCTGAGCACAATAAATATACAAATCACAAATAAGGGAAAACATTTTGGGCTTCTAATTCCAGAAATGAGAGTGTCTGTGCAAGAGGTGTGCCTTCAAACATCAAGAGAACAAACGCCATGGCAACCAGAACAATGAGTGTCAGGAGAGTCACCATGTGTTTCCTCAAAATGCAAAGGGCCATTTCCTGACAGCTCTAGCGTATACCAACATCAGGCGGTTTGATTCTATCTGTAACAAAAGGCATAATAATAATAAAAAATAAATAAAATCAACTCCAATTATAGTGAATTTACCACAGCTATGGGCCATTGCTAGGAAAAAATAAAATTAATTAATTAAATAATGAATCACTCAATTTCTTAATAATAATAATAATCTAATTAATCAGATTTGATCAGTTTAGCATGCTGGATTTTACTAGACTTCATATAGTTCAACTATCTAGTGCGTACAGACACAGGAAGACAGGACACAATTTCCGGCTTCACACAAGAATGTCTTTGAAGCCCGGTAAGAGGGTTTGCTGATGAAAATGAGACATATGAGTGCTACGGCTGACTGTTTGCCCCCCGCCGTCCCACCTTTGACCTTGGAACTCTAAACTCTGCTAGAGAAAACTCATCCCAGGTTTATCATCATGTGTACAGAGGGACGAACGCACAGTCTGAAGTCCTTTACTGTGCCGTGGAGCTCATAAATCAGTTATAAGGCTGGATGCGGTCTTTTATCTCTAATCCATTTGAACTTCAGGAATTCCGTAGCCGAGTCAAACTTTCCATCCAGGCTGATATCATCACGCTCATCTGCTGAGGACCATAAATATGTCAACTGTCACTGCTTTCGGCATATGGAAAAACATGTGCCGAGCAACTGGAGAAATACAAGAGGCGGAATTTGAAAAATTCCCAAAAACATTGACATGTTGACATGATCCATTCAGGAAGTCTGGGTACCTCGATGGTGGTGACATTCCAGTTTAGGCCAGTTTTATTGAGGTATCCCTCAGATACTTTAATAGCTTAATTAGCATTTTGAGTTTGTTTTTCTATTTTCCATTTTCATTTGTATTTTTAGTTCATGTTTTAGTCATTTTGTTGTGTGCCATTTCTATGAGTTGTTTTTTTTACTATGTCTGTAAAGCCTTTATACATTTTTCTTTCGATCTTCTACTTATTTTAGTACATCAAGTTATACTAAATGAAAATGAGAAATGTTGCATTGGAAAATGAAGCTGAACTAAGACTGAAATAACATTCATTTTCATTAAATATAAATTTTCTTGTGTGTTCTTGTAATTTTTATTAGCTAATGTCTATATAGTTTTATTAACTTTTATTTCAGTTTTAGATATTGCATGACATTAAATTAAAATGAGAAATATTGCTTAAGCAACTAGCTATAACAAAATAGTTTTTAAAATGTATTTTATTTCAACTAATGAAAAATGTTTTTATGGTTTTAGCTTTACTATAATAACCCAGGTTTAGGCTGAATTCTCTTAGGCTGAAATCGGTTTTCTAGGAGGTGGAAACTGCACATTTGATAAACAGTATGCTCTATGCATTGAAAGATCATTTCAGTCTCAGCGACAAAAAATATTCACATTGCACGAAAACGCCTATGTCCATAAAGAATGGTGAAATCCTACCAGCAGGGGGCGATGACAGGTTAGTTCAGCTTTCATGCAAATCATCAGAGAGTTTGACAAGGACAAGCTTATGAGCTCATAGCTTTATTTCCAAGTGGAGAAAAAGCATAATAAAACGTGTCAGTGTAGAATTTCGGTCAAGCTTGTGGCGACCCGACCTGACGATCACACCCAGAATAACTGAAAACACATGGGACTGCAGCCACCTCCCAGTTCACATCACACAAAGCATTCTAAAAGCATTTATCTTCCCTGAAAGCAGCTTTTACTGACAACAGGACACAATTTTTGCAATTTGCATTGCTATGATGTTCTGCGTGGTTGCTAACCTGTTACATTTACATTTGATACGCTATAATGAAAAGCGGCTTCATTCAAGATACAGTTTATCAGTTTATGCATTCCCTGGGAATCAAAATCAGGATTTTGGCATTGCTTGTGCTATGCTATATGCCCTGAAACGTCTTGTAGAAATCCCTGTGTATAAGCAGCACTAACAACAGTGATGCTTGCCTTCACCAACAGGCTAGAAAGGAAAAAGGCTGTCATCAGTACAAAACAATAGTGCAGAATGCAAACAGGCTAATCTGCTCGCCACACACTGCGTATGACTAAACATTTCCATGTAGCAAACCGACAGTTCAGACAGTTAAGATAGCACTGACTTCAGCCTGCATCCATCTGCAATGTCTATACACAAGAATGACCCTTTAGACCACGAGGTCAGCATTCATCTCTGCCCGAGCGCAATTAGCATACTAATAGCCCAGCTCTGTACTTGACAGTCAGGCTCACCGATGTGCAAACAGTCTCATGCCTATCAATCTCCATAATAAGAAACAAGAACCAATCACTCGTAAAACACAAGCAAGCCTTGGTTGACCACTGTAGCAATCAGTTTAACTATACTTCTGCTCCACCTGAGTCATATCATGGAAAAACAATAGATTTTCAATCTTTTGAAATAATAGTAGGGAGGAATGACAACCATATCATTTTTTTGTCAATACTGGATAGCCTATTTAAATGTGGATGATTAATTCAACCTATTTTCAGGTTTTAGACTACTTTAGCAATCACGTAACACTAACTTCAACAAATTTCCATTATCTCTTTAACCACTTCTGGAAAAGCGGCCCCTCAATTGAGACTCATCTTATCATTTCACTTTTTTATTAACTATTCATTTCAAAATAAATTATCATTTCATACTGTGCATTATAATGCTGCAATGTCTAAATTCACTTAAGCATCACAACATTGATATACATGGATAAAAACTATTCATTTTAGTGCTATTATTTTTAGACCAAAGAGAATAGAAGTTTAATATTGGCCATAATAAAAATGTAAATGTACATACAGAATAAATACACTTAAAATAAAATAATAATACTTAGCAACTTGTCCTGCTCTGATGAAAAACAGTAGCTATGTTTCCATTAAAGTTGCGAATTTAACTTATGCGTATATTGCATAAAATATTGCTGCAGTAGGAGAAGCCACTGTGGGTCTTTATTACTTTTTATAAATTATAAATTACTTGGCATTTCCAAACAGTGTTTTTTTTCTATGTGATATCCCAAAATGCACATAAAAATAGGTGGATAGAAACATAACTAGTGGTCACTTACATAAATTATTACATGTACAGTAGCAAAAACTGTTCAATTCTAAGAGACAGAGTGAGGGTCAGAATAGTCATCTGAACAAATAAAATGCAACAATTGGGACAATATGACCCATTTAAATGTTCAGATATTTAAAACCTGAAGTCCTAGAGAGGTCACTGGGTCATATTAAGTTGGTTTAAAAATGCAGTTAAAGCAGCGAAAGCACATTCCTGCGTGAGCACCTTTCACCTCTGACGGAGGCTGATCCTGGGGGAAATCAATGTGTTGAACAGGTCTCTGACTTGGATTAATGCAGTGGTGTGTTTAGAGGGGTGGCGTTAACCCCACGTCAGCAGGACACTTCATTCGCTGAGACGGAGTACAAATTCCCACCACACAATTAACTTAGACAACTGTTTTGCTTACTTTCCAACACACAAAATATATGAACTAAAAATTAGACTTTAAAAGGAAGCAGCTGATTTTGGTGTGATGTTAGGTGTCCTAAATCAGATGAGGACAGACCAAAGCAGAAGTTAAAAATCGAATTACTGTATATCGGAGTTTACATAAGACAAGCA